CCAACCCAGGCCACTAAGAATTGATGCGAAGCCCTGGGATTGCGGTCTGGGCTCCGAGCAGACGGGAACCCTGGGGAGGCTCCCGCCAGCAGCCTGGGTGCGGGTCTCAGCTCTGACACCCCTGGCTGTGTGGCTTTGAGCAAGTGGCTTACCCTCTCTGTGCCCGTTTGCTTATCTGTAAAATGAATAATACCACCGTGGACCGATGGGGGCCTAAAGCAAGGCGGCCTGTGGAAAAAGCCTGCCTCACTCGACACGGCAGCCGATGCGCGCGGTCACGTCATCGTGCTTGTGAAGGGGGTGGAGTGGGGGAGGGTGTCTGCTCGGGGAGGGGGCTGCGTAAGGGGCTGGGGCACGCCTCAGGCGTTGTCTGGTGTAAACCCCTCGAGGGGCACGTGGACTCACGGGCCGATGCCGCTGGACTGGAGGGTCTGGGAGAGACTGGGTCTCAGGAGCTGGGGCCGAGGGGGCAGCCTGGGAGGCCCAACCTGGGGGGCTGGGCGGGGGCTCTGGGCTCCGTCCGCAGGGCCGAGCTGTGCAGGCCAAGCCCTTCCGTTCCCCGCTGACCACCCACTGGTCTCCCACCCCACCCTGGCTTCCAGCCCCTCTACTGACCAGCTGCGGCTTTCCCTGCCTGCAGCCTTCCCCTGAGGCGGGAAACAGAATCTCCCCACCCTCCAGCCGGCACCCCGCAGCCAGAGAGCCCACCCCCCGTGTTAGGGTCCAGCGTCCTCGCCGCCCACCTCCACCCAGGCCTGTGTGCAGGGGGACCATTTCCCCAGAAGTGGGTGGGGAGGGGAATGATGGGAGGGGCGCTCTGCGGCCCCACCTCCTGCACCTCAGCCCACCCCACCCCTCACCCCCGCCTTCCAGCTCCCCGTGGCCTCCAGCTCCAGGGACAGACCCAGGCCACGGCAGCCTGGGGTCCCGGCGTGTCTGGAGGTGAGTTTCACCCCCGGGGCGATCCTGGACCCAGACAGACTGAGGTCTGATGCAGGGGCGGGGGCTGTGCCAGGGCCACAGTGGGTCCCGCAGGAGTGAGGCCGGGCCATGCTGAGGGGTGAGGGGCGGCCGTGCGGAGGGCGCAGGGCCCTGGCTTGGCTGCTGGGTGCTTCAGGGAGAAGTGAGAGGTCAGCTGGGGGCAGGCAGGGCAGCCCGGAGGCGGGCACTGGGCCTGGGGAGGCAGCTGGAGCAGGGCAGGGCCGAGGGGGTCGTTTGGGGACGTTGGAGAAGGAGCCAGCCATGTTTGGGGGGCGATGGGGGGCATGTATGGGTGGGACCCTCCGAAGGATACTCCTGACTGTGGCCTGGTCCCCGAAGGCAGGCTGAGTCCCCTCCTTACCCACTCAGAGTGAGCCACAGGGCTCAGCTCAGAGACAAGCGCCTAGAAAGGGGCTTCTGGCCCTGAACCCCTGTCCCGCCTTCTGAGCTGAGGGCCGTGGGAGGATGGACCACCCCACTCCCTTCTGCCCACCCCCCACGCACACATCCTAGCCGGGCTCCACTTCCTGTTCTCAGGCTCCATGTCCTGAGCAATGGGACTCCCCGCCACCACACTGTCTGCGTCCCCCTCCCCTGGCCCTAGGGCCTGTCACCCTGCTCACCTGAGGTTCCCAGACCCCGTGACGCCACAGAGGCCTGGTGGGTCACTTGTAGTGAGTTCGTGGGAGCTGAGCCCGAGGAGGAAGCACACAGGCAAGGTGGAGCTGGGTCCCCAGGGAGCTGCGGGTGTGGGGGGGGGCGCTGCCTGAGGGAGCCCAGCCCAGCCCAGCCCAGCAGGAGCAGCGCCCTGAGGGCTGACTGGGGGACACCCAGGGAGACGGGAAGTCATTGAGGACATCTGTCCTCCAAGACCTGGGGGCAACGAGCACCGTCCAGAGGAGCCGAGACCAGCTGCAGGGACCCTGGGCATGTGTGGGTGGCGGGACGGGTGGGGCCAGGCAGCAGGCATTCCAGAGATGGGGGTGCCGATGGCCCACACCCCCACCTTTCTGCTAGGGAAAATCATAAGCAGATGTGGGCTCCTCGGGGAGCACAGAGTGAACCGCCAGAGGTTTAGGAATGCTGAACCCGAAACCTGACACCTCAGGCAGGGGGGCGGCCATGCAGGAGCTCAGCTTCCCTGACCTCTGGCAGAGGACTCCAGGTCCCCACCGCCCTCCTACCCAGTGGGCGAGGCCAGGGGTGTGGGAGATGGAGAGGGGCCCATCTCCTGATGGCTGATGGGGTGGCCAGCGGGAGGCGGTGCTGCTCGCTGAATCTGAGGCCGGGGAGGCGGGGGGCGGTTTGCCTTGGTGTGGCCAGGTGGGGGGCCTCGGTAAGGCCG